CTGCCAAGAAACTTTGCCCACCAAAGTGCAACTCCGCCTTACTCGAGGGGTCGGTCAACTGGCAGCAGCTGGTTGACGGGTTAGAGTTCCCAGCCACCCGGGAGGTCGTTTCGGCGCTGTGCTCCCGTGCATCCAGCCCTGTAGATCACCACTTCAAGCACTGGGACGTAGTGCCGCTCATGGCGGCCGGGAAGGTAGGCCATCGCAGCCAGCGCCGGAGGTGCAGGAGGAGGTGAGTCGATGGGACAGGCTGTGAAGTTGTGCGATATGAAGAGAGGGATTGTGGCCTGGTTTCGTTGAGGTTGTGGCCTGGTTGTTGGGATACGGAGGCGGCGGCCGGGGTTTTGAGGCCCTGTCAGCTGCCTCCCCTGTGTTTGATTTGTCGTTTGGCACAAAAAATTGATTCCACTTCCAAGAGTGACCTTGCACTGTCACCAACTTAAGCTTGAAAAAACTTGCTACTGAGCACGCCGGCCCTTTAAAAGTCTCTTGACTCCCGCCCCGGCAAAGGTTCCCCCCAGAGGGGCCCTGCTCAAGTTCGCATGCTCTGGAGCCTCTGAGTTTTTATCATTCTGGCGTGTAGAGTACAGGGAACCCTGCATCCCCTCAGTCAGATGCCTGTGCAGATGCTTACGGGCCCCAGGTGCCAAAAAAGCCAACGAGATTCAATGAGTGTAGTGCTCACAGGTTTCCAGCTTACGCAAAGGCCCTTGAGATCCCAAGGGGACAGGCACTTCTTGCTGGGCACCCACCGCGTGACTGGCAGCAGGAACAGCTTGCTAAAAGGCTTCTTCATCTTGCCTTGAAGGTGCGTCTATGTACTCAACTTCGCAATCCCCAAATAGTAGGATCCCCTTGTTAAATAATCAGGCCCCGAGAAGGTTCCCCCTAGTTTCGGAACCCCCCCCCCATATGAGCCCTTCCACCCTTACGAGTTTCATAAGTGCCATCCGGCCTTCAATGCTTCTACAGTTTAGAGCCCAGTGCGAACCTTCTAAACCCTCCGGTAAGTTTGTAGGGCTTGGTGGTTGCTCCAGGTTGATCTGAGTTAGGGCTCCTTTGTAAGGGTCTGCTCTGCGAAGGTTCTTTTGCAAGCTAAACCCTAAACCCTAAACCCTAAACCCTAAACCCTAAACCCTAAACCCTAAACCCTAAACCCTAAACCCTCAACCCTAAACCCTAAACCCTAAACCCTAAACCCTAAACCCTAAACCCTATCATAAACCCTAAACCCTAAACCGCGTTTGCCCAGTGCCTCGCTGCACCTTCCGGTGTGCTCAAGAAACCGAACCCCCGATGCATGCCAGCCATGCTTGAATGCTTGAACTTCCCCACCCTAAACCCTAAACCCTAATCCCTAAACCCGAAACCCTAAACCCTAAACCCATGCTTCATTGTGTGCTGTCTCCTCTCAGTCCATGACCCAGTGATTCTGATGAAAGTGCTTTTGGCCATTGAGTAAGCGGCCGTGTTGCCCAGATTGATGCAGACCCTAGATTCCCTAAACCCCAAAACCCCTAAACCCCAAAACCCCTAAACCCTAAAGTCCCTAAACCCTAGAATCCCTAAACCCTAAAATCCCTAAACCCTAAAATCCCTTAAGCCTAGAATCCCTAAACCCTAAAATCCCTTAACCCTAGAATCCCTAAACCCTAAACCCTAAACCCTAAACCCTAAACCCTAAAACCATGCTGGGGCTTCCCCTCCTTGATCTGGCGCTGCTGGCCATCGCCCTCAGCGCTGCGCAGGGCCAGGATGCTTTCAGGGAGGTGCGGGTCCTACGCTGACTCATGGGTGCGGTTTAGGGTTTAGGGTTTAGGGTTTCGGGTTTAGGGTTTAGGGTTTAGGGTTTAGGGTTTAGGGTCTAGGGTTTAGGGTTTAGGGTTTAGGGTTTAGGGTTTAGAGTTATACTACCCCCCCCCCCCCTAGGTTCCCTGCATAATGGAGGCTGTTTTGGGATCATTGTGCTGAACTACGGTTCCTTAAGGGGGAAACCTGGGGGGGGGGGGGTAGTATAGAGGGGGGGCCAATGGCCGCACCAACCCTGAAGCCTCCTTTTACAAACATCCCGAAGCCCTCCACCCCAAAACCAGCCCTGAGGAGAGCTCCGTGCCGCTATATCCTGCCCCCCCCCTCCCACTCAGAACCCTAAACCCTAAACCCTAAACCTTAAACCCTAAACCCTAAACCCTAAACCCCTTAACCCCTTAACCCCGTAACCCCTTAAACCCTAAACCCTAAACCCCCCCAAAAGCAGCCCTGAGGAGAGCTCTGTGCAGCTGCTGCAGCACAAGCTGGTCCTCGGTGGACCCGCGGAGCTGCGCCTGCAAGAGGCCGAGCCGATTTACTGGGTCCACTTCCCGAAGCTCGTCGGCTAGGATTTAGGGTTTAGGGCTTAGGGTTTAGGGTTTAGGGGCTTAGGGGCTTAGGGGCTTAGGGGCTTAGGGGCTTAGGGGCTTAGGGGCTTAGGGGCTTAGGGGCTTAGGGGCTTAGGGGCTTAGGGCTTTAGAGTATCACGCTTGGGCTTCTGGGGTTGGGTCTGCTGATCTAGGGTTCATGGGGTTTCGGGGGGCTTGAGATTGGAGGTTCAGTGCTGTAAGGTGTTCTGTGAAAGAGGGTCCTGTAAGAACAACATCTTTAAATGCAAAATCGCCTGGCGACCAGTCAGGAAGTGTGGCAGCTCTCTTATCAACGCGTTGATACACCTGCCTGGGGTGTGCCCACTTGCCCACAACCTTGTCCTTGATGAGAAGTCGCTGGGCGCCTGCTGGCTGGAGGAGGGAACTCTAAACCCTAAACCCTAAACCCTAAACCCTAAACCCTAAACCCTAAACCCTAAACCCTAAACCCTAAACCCTAAACCCTAAACCCTAAACCCTAAACCCTAAACCCTAAACCCTAAACCCCGTAACCCCTTAACCCTAAACCCTACACCCTAAACCCTAAACCCTAAACCCTAAATACCCTAAAGCCTAAACCCTGATCATACAATGTTCTAGAGCACGTAAGCTCGGGCCCACAGTCTGATGCGCAGGTTTGGTACAAGGACTGGTGCCACGAAGCCTGCGACAAGGAGAAGTTCTGGTGCCCGTCCGTGCATGGCAATCTCCTACCACACCAGCCGATTGCCAACTACTCCGCAGTGGCAGGCCACCTTCTGACCTTCAGGGTTCAGGGTGTAAAATCACGAGCCGTCGGCAAAGAAGTGAGAACAGCAATTCGACTCTGTCCCCATGCGGCTTTGGGGTCGCCAGGCTTTCAGCTGAACAGGTGACATGCTTTGCCTTAGATGGGGGTTTACGAGAATAAGGGACTCCAATAAGGTACCTCAATATCGTAACCCCCAGATGGTTCCACACCGGAGTTAAGAGCGCATACATGCACGCAGGCAAACTGATGGGGATGTTCAGAAATCCCGAGCAGCGCATTCTGTCTGGGTACCGCGACGACTTCAACAACTTCGCCGCGGTCAACTACGCTGGGCACCTGCAGCAGATATTGGCCATGTATGCCAATGGAACGCTTGACATGGAGAGGTGCACAGACTCCCTACATGGGCTACCGAAGGTACCTCTGTTGGAGTTTGCTGAAGGCTGGAAAGGTGGCATGACGTATCAGCTGGTGGTCGAGCACCCGACGGCACAGACCCTCGACCTCGCCCGCCCGCAGATGACGCGCCAGGATGCAGAGGAAGCAGCTCGAAGGGTGCGGGAAGGCTTTGCTTTTGTGGCTTGGTAGCCCAGTGGTACCCTTTACCCTTTTGTCTTGGTTGTGGGTTCCCTTATGAATCTATGAAGTAACCAACCCAAAAAGGGTAGTTACCCTTATCATTATATGGTTACTGGTCTACGAAGGTTGGCATCACGGAGGAGTGGGACCTGTCAGTGTGCCTGCTCCACAAGATGTTTGGGGGAGCCTGCCGGGCCTCGGATTTTGAAGATGCGAATCCGACCTCTGCGGGGAAGTCTGCGCATGTGGACTACGATACATCTGAGCTCATGGGCTGGCAGGATGACGTTGATGGGGTGGTCTATGCTGCTGCCCTGGATGTCTTCCACAGGAACTTGATCGCCCTCAATGTTTCTCATGAGTCGTGCCGAGAGTGCTACAGCCATGCAGGGAGAGACCCTTCGTCAAGCACTTCGACTTGGTAAGATGTTCTGGTAGGTGCAGTGGTTTAGGGTTCTAGGGTTCTCGGGTTCTCGGGTTCTCGGGTTCTAGGGTTCTAGGGTTCTAGGGTTCTAGGGTTCTAGGGTTCTAGGGTTCTAGGGTTTAGGGTTGTTACTGCCCTTGGGCCCTTTGGTTGCTTTTGGTCCAGACTGGTCGCATGCGGACAGCGTGACGGCCGGCGCGCGCAGACAGCGTTGGGAAGAAAGCGGAGCGGGATCGTGGCTGTTCCTACTGTTGAGGGTTGAGGGTTTAGGCATGTTCAGGCTGGTCTGTCGACATTCTGAATATACAGCCAAGGTACCTAGACTTCCAAATTCTATAAGAATGTGCCATATTCCAGAGTGGCGTCACGCGGAGTTTAGTAGTTTTGCGGGTACTTTGGGGGTCCAGGTATTCGGCATGCACTTTAAGCCAAGGTGTCTTCGGCGCATATGGGCTTGAGTTGCTTTCAGGGGTTTAGGCTATAGCCCTCAACCCTAACTCCTAAGCCCTAAACCCTAAATCCCAAAAAACCCTGAACCTTAGAGTCTGAGCCGCAGCCCCAAGTGCTCATCGGAGGATCCAGCCGAAGAGAAGTGAGGATTCCGCGCTCAGCTCCGAAGGAAAGCTGCGACAGACCTGAGCATTCAGCGGCGCACGGCAACGCCCTTAAACGCCCATCGACTCCATAAAACCTTAACAAACTCCATACACACCACAAAGTTCCAGAAACCTCATAAAAACTCCTAGAAGCCTTCATGAAGAATTGCATATACCCTTATATAAAGTCCTGAACGATCCACCCAGCCTCCAAAAGCAGCCTCCCAAGTGATTGAGCGCTAAATGGCCCGATGGATGACTTGCCGGAGAGCCAGCGGAGAGGCTCCCTTGGGCTCCTCCCGAGTTCTCCCCCTCCACCTTGGGAGAGGTTTGGCTTAGGGGTCTAGGGTTTAGGGTTTAGGGTTTAGGGCTTAGGGCTTAGGGCTTATAGGGCTTAGGGCTTAGGGTTTAGGGTTCAGGGCTTATCCCCTATACTGTGGGATTTTCCTCCTTGTACGAATAGTCCTTTACTAGAATCCCTTCGAAGGGCTGTTGGCATAAGAGGGAACATCCCAACCTATACTGCTACAATCCCTACTCGTAATTAGGATGAGCCATAAAACCCCTTTTTTTCTGGTTAACTTGGTCCACGCGGCTCCTTCATCCTCACCCCCCCCCCCCCCCCCCCCCCCCCCTTCCCCACCCGCCCCTAACCCTACCCGACATCTGCTCCGAAACCATCCTCCCCAAAGAGGATGCCCTTGCTGTAATATTGTAGTATATGGTCACTGTGTTACCAAGTGAACCTCTAAGATGGAGCGCAGGAGTCTGCGCTCTGAAGTCCTGCCAAAACCCAAAACCCCAAACCTCAAACCCCAAACCCCAAACCCCAAACCCCAAACCCTAAACCCTAAACCCTAAACCCTAAACCCTAAACCCTAAACCCTAAACCCTAAACCCTAAACCCTAAACCCTAAACCCTAAACCCTAAACCCTAAACCCTAAGCCTTCCGAGCCCAGATTTCCCGAGCATCTCGACCTCGTGGCTTTCGCTGGGGGCCGACCACGCTCGGTTTGCACATGCCCAGAACATCTTGCATAGTTACCTGGCATACGATACCAAGTTGGGATGTTGCCCCCTTACACTGGCAGTGCTTAAGTGGGATTATAACAGGGGGGAATTACTATCATCCCTATTAAAGAATGTTAGTATAAGGGGGAGCATCCATTATAACAGGGGGGTACTCTCATCCCTATTAAAGACTGTGAGTATGAGGGGGGAGCATCCCAAATAACAAGCCTGATACTTGCAAACGCTTGCGCCCCGCCGCTTCGGCAGCCGGGGCTGGCCCAGCTCGTCGCACCAAAGAGCGGTCTTAGGAGAGGTCCAAGGGCGGTTCTCAAGGGGGGGATTTCAACAAATACAATATATATATATATATATATATTATACATAGTATATTATATATATATATATATTAAAAAACTACATTATATATATATATGTATTATATATATATATATATATATTACCTTAAAGTATTCTGTTCTTTGCACAGGGCACGGTGAGGTGTCCTATGCCGAAAGGGGAAGTTTGGAAGGGGGGAAGGAGCCCAGATCCTGGTCTGCTTGTTCTAGGTGCCTTTTCGGCTGGAAGCCGAGTACAAAGGGAGGGAGGGGCAGGGAGGGAGGGAAAGAGGTAGGGAGAGAAGTAGGGAGGGAGAGTAGCCATTTTGGTTCAAGTCTGGGGCGCACCCACCGCTCCATCAAGCTCCTCCACAAAAGACCGCAGAATAGACTAAAGAGAGAGAGAGAGAGTTCTATGCCTGAAATTTCACCAACTGACCCAATGGAGCACGCCCTCCTGGGCGACCCCTTCGGGGGTTAAGCGCAGTGGAAGGAAGGAAGAGTTCTATGTACACAAGGAAAAACGGCTCTTTAAACAGCGAAATCTTCAGACACCAAGCCTATAAAAAACTTTCATGCCCAAAAGCCATTAAAACACCAAAGCAAGCGATCAATCACTGATAACTCCCACCCCCCCCCCCCACACCAAACAAAGTAGTAAAATACAAACATGAATCAAAAAGCCTACGCGAACAAGAGCACTATAACAGCCCTTACAAAACCGCTGAAGAAACAGAGGCCCCCCATGCCAGGTGGTGTTGGTGACCTTCATCTTACTTCCGGAGCGTACCCTTGGCTTCAGCGAGGTGCCGCTGCCAGAACATTTTAAACGGCTGGTGTTCCTGGTGTGTAGTGTCTAGGGTCATGCTGGGTTTTACGGTATAGGGTTTACGGTCTATGGGGTAGAGGGTATAGGGTTTAGGGTTCTTGGGGCTCAAGGGCTCTAGGGTTTATGGGTTCACTGCTCTGAGAACCACAACAGGCCGGCACAAGAGCAATTCTCGGGCATGGTCTCAACTGAGAGCCTTCCGTCCCCCTCAAACCCCCACAGCCGAAGTCGTCCTTAGCAAGAACCCGCCAAACGCACAACCCTGGACCCCCAAAACCCAAGAAGCTCAAGATATCCCAAAACCAACCGAACACCCCAACAAAAAGGGAATCCCCAAATAGGGTTGTTTTGAGGGCCCCATACCCCCGACATGCAGGAGCTTTGGAAGCTCCAGCAGAAGTTACGGCGTGAGCTCGGCCAGGCATGCCGGGGGCCGCAGATGGGGGCAAGACAAGCCCCAAGTCCCTGGCAACTCTGTAAGGTGGAGCCTCTTCCTAAACACTAAACCCTGAACCCTAAACCCTAAACCACTCCCCCGCTTTCCTCTCCCAAAGACACATCGATTTCAAGAGTGCCGATGCTTAAGTGGAAAGTGAGAAGCCTATTCTTTGTGGAACTAGTGTAAGTGGATCACGAAATAGGCACCGAGATTATTGGACTGTACTCTTTACAAGTGGAACATGGAAAGTGGAAAACCATGCTGTTAATGTAATTAGGGGCTACGTAATTGAAAAGCGGAAGTGTATGAGCAAAAGCTACTCTTTACAAGTTAGTAGGTATCCAGTGCCCAGAGTTGAACATGGGAATTGAGCATAGGGCTTAAACACAATAGAAAACGGAAAGTGGAAGCCATGTTCTTTTGTAACGGGTCGAAGTGCTGTCATTTCTCGCACAGGCCCCAAACCACACCAAGCCGCCCCAAACCGCCCTGAGCCTAAAACAACCCAAGCCCGGTTTTCTTGCTTGGTTCTATCGAATGCCCTTGCTTTGCGAGCAGGTCGCCCGTTCCGTCTCCGGGAATCCCATTGTCAGGCCCGGCTCTCCCCTAAAGCATCAGCACCTCATGCTCTCCGATGCAGCATCTTCTGCTCCTTCCCCTCTCCGGCGGCTTCTGTTCGTTTGTCCACCCTCGTTGAGCCGAGCGGCTCAAAACCCCACAATACTCGGTAGGCCCTTGGGACATTTTCTATTTTCCCTTACTGGGTTTAAGAGGTTTAGGGTTTGGGGTTTAGGGTTTAGGTTTAGGGTTTAGGGTTTCAGAGGATCATCTTCAGGAATGTTTTTCAGAGGGTTTTTAAGGGCTCTCCTCGAGTAGGATGGCCCTCGTGGCAGTGAGAGCGCCCTCGCCCAGGGCGATCCTGGATGCGGCTTATTGGCTTCTGAGGCCAGGTGCCTCTAAAAGGGGGGGGGGGTTAGGGTTTAGGGTTTAGGGTTTAGGGTTTAGGGTTTAGGGTTTAGGGTTTAGGGTTTAGGGTTTACGGTTGAGGGTTGAGGGTTGAGGGTTTAGGATTTAGGGTTTAGGGGGGGGGGTTAGAGAGGATCTGACGGACATCACTAGCAACCTCCAACCTATCTTCCAAGGGAGATATCTAATGGGCGGCGGGTTTCTGGTGGCCGCAGTGTGGGGAGCCCCGAGGATCCATGTACCTATGTAGTATATACTTGGGCCCTAAGGCTACTATATAGGAACCCCTTTAAGGCCCAAGTATATACTTTATAGGTACATGGATCCTTTGGGGAGGATGGGGGAGTTTTCGAGATCCCAGAGCGGCGAGTTTCTTGGAAGGGCTTCGGGGGAGTCAAAATTCTAGCCTCCGGGCTTCGCCATTCGCACCCCGAGATGCAAGCGGTCCATTCACACCATGGACCCCTAAACCCTAAACCCTAAACCCTAAACCCAAAACCCTAAACCCTAAACCCTAAACCCCAAACCCCAAACCCAAAGGGCCCAAGCCAAGTTTCAGATGCCAGGAAGCTGTCGGGAGGCCGCTTCTCATCGCCCGAGCCGCAGATTCAGAGCTCAAGAGCCGGAAACTGGAGATCTCCTGTGTATAGAATCCCCTATTGAGGACTGTTAGTACAAAGGGGGGACATCGGAAATGTAAACCAAAAACGAGCAAACCCTAAACAAGCCACTAGCCAGCTAGGCCCTCGGGATAGTTTCTATTTCCCTGATTTTGGTTCAAGATGATCCTATTCAGGAATCTTTTTCAGAGGGTCTTAACTGCCACCCCAGGCAAGCCTCAAGAAGCCCCAAGCTCTAACCATCTCATCCGTTAAGCCCTGAAGCGGAAAATTTCTGGAGCACATGTCTGGGCCACTCTTGCAGCGAAGATGTTGAGCACCCTCAACCCTAAACCCTCAAACCCTCAACCCGAAACCCTAAACCCTAAACCGTAAACCCTAAACCCTAAACCCTTCCAGTGCCTCAGGGGTAGTCGGGCGCTCCGAAAATTCCCAGTAGCGAAGGAACCCGGGCTTGCCCCCTTATACCCCATACCACTTCTACATTTTCTTTCTTGGTTTTTCTTCAACCCTATAATCCCTTCCTAAACCCTAAACCCTAAACCATGAACCCTGAACCCTGAACCCTAAACCCTAAACCCAAAACCCCAAACCCTAAACCCTAAACCCCAAACCCTAAACCCTAAACCCTAAACCCTAGAATCCCTAAACCCTCGAGCTCCTAGACCCCTCGTACTGAGATGACAGGCCCTGCTTGCCGCCCCACTCCCTCCGGGCACGCCTGGGCGGCCCAACAGAGGCGAAGGAGGGTTCTTGCAGGATGCCAGATGGGGTTTAGGGTTTAGGGATAAGGGTTTAGGGTTTAGGGTTTAGGGTTTAGGGTTTAGGGTTTAGGGCTTAGGGTTTAGGGGAGTCCAGAGATTACGTTGACGCTGTAAAGTTGAGGGTTTACAGGAATTGTGCTGCAGGAAAGTGTAGGGGTGATTCTCTAGGGGGTTCTTCTATACTTGGGGCTCAGGTCATTTGAAATTAGGAGAAAGGGCACGCTGGAGTCTGCTTCTTCTCAGGGTTTGGTGCTAGACAACCCAATCTTTACACGTGGTAAGAAATCGTCAATGTTGTAGGAGTCATGTGGCTTGTGAGGGTTCAGGGGTGTTTAGGCTTCTAGGGTTTTGAGGGCTCAGGGGCTTGGGGTTGTGGATCAAAGACCTACATTTTATTCTGATATTTTCTTTTTGCTTTTTTTGTCTTGAGGGGGTGGTCGAGGGTCCATGTGGCCATTTTTGATGGCCTCGGGATCTGAAGCTCAAAGGGCATCTCGGCCTTTCTGAGGCTTTCTCCGTGGCTCGTGCTCCTGTGCAGGTGCTGGTGCTGTGGACGGCGCATCAGCAGCCCAACCCGCTTCACGAGGAGCGGCGCGAAGAAAGCTTGTCCCCTCTTTCTGATCTCCTAGAAGCTGGCCCTGATGCCACGTCAGGAATATCATAGATGTGATTTGGGATGTTCCGCCCTTATACGAACAGTCCTGAATAGGGACTATAGGACCCGTGTATTATAATCCCTGTTAAGGACTCTTTGCATAAGGGGGAACATTCCAAGATGTGAGCTACTTGAGGGGACAAACGACTTGCATCCATCATCGATTCGTCGAGATTCCTTCTAGTTTGAGGCGACCAAAGGGGCCCTTAGTTCAGGAGAGAGCCCCCCTAAACCCTGAACCCTAAACCCTGAACCCTAAACCCTGAACCCTAAACCCTGAACCCTAAACCCTAAACCCTGAACCCTAAACCCTAAACCCTGAACCTCAAGCACCCCCCCCCCCCCCCCCCCCCACTCTCTGTGATGGAAGCTACGAGCCTGATGTCACGATTCAGGAGACCTACATCCTTTCCTGGAAAGTGGGTGGCGGGAAAGGATCCGCGTGGCAGGAGCTATGAGGGTCGGCTGCAGGATGTCGGATTGTAGTTAGCTAGGATTTCGGGCCACCCTAAACCCCAAACCCTAAACCCTAAATCCCCAAGGTCACTTGGGGATTTAGGTGGTTTGACGGTTTATACACCTTAGGGTTTAGGCACAAAAGACCTTTTGAATGCTGATCCGGGGTTCTACCAGGTAGCAGTCTGTCTGTAGCAGCCAGGAAGAAGCCATCACCGAGAATCTGCCTTCTCCTTGGGGGCTGGATTGCGGTTTCAAGGGCTGAGCTGGGTGCAACCGGGCTTATTCCAGGGACTCTTTACCAACAGTTTTTTGGGATATACCTAGTAATAAGGGGTAGCTACTGCTAAACTGTACGTAAATAGAGTCCCAGGTAGGGTTTCGTTCGGCTTAGGAAAGCCTACCGACCTGCAAGCGCGTCCCACCTAGTAGCTAGCTGCATCAGGCGCCCAAAATGTAGAATCCTTCCGTTTGGAACCCCCTAAAGCCGCATCCCCCCCAGGGGGCACAACCCGACGTTAAACCCCCATGGCTGCCCGGAGGGGCTGAGTCCAATCTTGCAGCAACACCCCCTGATTCTTGGTAGGGAATGCGCGAAGAGCGGCCTATCTGTACCCTTTAAAAGGGATTCTCTAGGTAACTCAATTCCCTCCTTTCCCGACTAAGAACCAGCCACCCCCCCCCCCCCCCCCCCCCCCGATTTGACTCCCCGATAGCCAGAATTCACTGAATGGGCCAGAAGCCCCCAAGCATACCCTAAACTTGCTGCTGTTTAGGGCTTAGGGCTTCGGGCTTAGGGCTGAGGGCTGAGGGCTGAGGGCTTAGGGCTTAGGGCTGAGGGCCCCAATAGAACCCTCAAGTCCCAAAGCCTCGGTGATCCCTGAACCCTGCAAAGCAATTGAGATCATCCCACACGGGCACCGAGGTGCACGGAGATCGGGGGCGCGCGTGACAGGTTCCATTCGAGGGTTTAGGGTTCGAGCCTCGAGCCTGGGCTTGAGTAACGTAATAGCTGCACGAGTGCCCTTTACACTTTTTGGGATACTGAATAGAACTGAAAGTGTACACTTTTTTGGGGCTTATGAACTCAGCAACTAAGGCAACTTTAGTGCTTTTCTTTTCAAAGAGAGGCCCTTGTTGAGAGCAAGCCGCGGCTAGTCCCCACAACAGGTGCTCCTTTGCCTAAACTGGGTTCAATTCGAACCATTTTCTTCAAGAGATTTACACGGGACCCTAATCCCCCATTAGAATATCCCATGTCTCTAATGCTCAGTGAGTCCCATAAGTCCCCTCCCCCCCCCCCCCCCCCCCCAAACCCTGAGTCCTAGACCCGAGACCCGACTATCCCCGAACTCTGAATCCTACAGGCCCCTAAAGTTATGGCGTCCTTAAGGGAGGGGGTGTTCATGGGGGGGTAGGGAACCTTAAGGAAGCTTAGGGAGCCTTCGGGAGTAGCCTTCGGGAGTAGCGGGGAGTATCAGGGAAGCTTGGGTTACATAAACCGCTTGAACCCCTTTGCCCTCAGGACCCTGAATGAATACATGTATGGTTTAGGGTTTAGGGTTAGGGTTTAGGGTTTAGGGTTTAGGGTTTAGGATTGAGGGTTGAGGGTTGAGGGTTTAGGGTTTGGGGTTTAAGGTTTAATTAGGTGGATTTCAGAGTTTCGTGCAGGTGGGGTGCCATCCTGGATCTGCCAGAGGAGGCCGTCACAAGGCCGCTGCAAGCACTGTAAAGCCTAAGCCCGGGCGCCCCATCAGCAACCCTAAACCCTAAACCCTACAAACCCTAAATCCTATAAGCCCTAATCCCTTTACACCCTATAAACCCGATAAACCCTAAACCCTAAGCGATTGCTTCAACAGGTTCTTGATCTATCAATCGCAGGGTTTCCGAAATTACGGGGTGCCTTATTATTGGGTCCTTATGATAAAGGGAACCCTGCTATTTGGGGGGTCTATTTTAGGGCGTCCCTCAATTTCGTGGACCCCCGAGGTTGCAAAGCACAGGATGCACACTCTGGGATGTTCCCCCCTTATACTAGTGTTGAGGGTTGAGGGTTTAGGGTTTAGGGTTTAGGGTTTAGGGTTTACTGACAGCTCCTTAATAGGGATTCTAGTGGGGGGTTACTATAATCCTTATTCAGGGCTGTTAGTGTAAAGGGGGGAGCATCCCAACGCGCCCTCAGACCCGAAACCTCTACACCCTAAAAACCTTAAACCCTTGCCAACCCCAAACGCCTTTCAACCCTGAAAAGGCCTAAGAACCCGAAGTGCAAAGCCCAAGATGCGCACTGATCACCCTGCTTCAGGACCCTCTGCACCCTAGAAACCTTAAACCCTAGAAGCCCCAAAAAGCCCGAAGAACCCTAAGGGCAAAGCCCAAGATGCCTTGCTTAAACCCTAAACCCTAAACCCTAAACCCTAAACCCTAAACCCTAAACCCTGAACCTTAAACCCTAAGCCCTAAACCCTAAACCCTAAATTCAGGATCCGGGTCTGCGCGGTGAACCACCTTGGTCGAGGCGAGTGGAGCCACGAGGAGGTCGAGGCCGGTGGAACTGCGAGCTGCCGCCCTAAACCCTAAACCCTAAACCCCAAACCCTAAACCCTAAACCACTCTTTCATATATAATATAAATGTTAATGACTTTGCGGGCAAGGTCATATATTTAGCGGGCAAGGTCATATATTTAGTGGGCAAGGTAATATATTTAGCGGGCAAGGTCATATATTTAGCGGGCAAGGTCATATATTTAGTGGGCAAGGTCCATTGGCTAAAAAATGACCTTGCCCACTAAATATATGACCTTGCCCGCTAAAGGGCGACCTTGCCCACTAAATCTATGACCTTGCCCGCTAAATATATGACCTTGCCCGCTAAATATATTGCCCGGGCCAGGTTATATATTTAGCGGGCAAGGTCATATATTTAGCGGGCAAGGTCATATATTTAGCGGGCAAGGTCATATATTTAGCGGGCAAGGTCATACATTTAGCGGGCAAGGTCATATATTCAGCGGGCAAGGTCACACATTTAGCGGGCCAGGTCATATATTTAGCGCGCAAGGTCATGTATTTAGTGGGCAAGCCCCCCCACCCCCCCCTCCCCCACCCCCCCACCCCCCCACCCCCCCCACCCACCCCCCCCCCCCCCCGCCCCCCCCCCCGAGGATGCTAGTTGAACACGCTCGGTCCCCAAAAATCACGGATGCTAGTTGAACACGCTCGGTCGCCAAAAAGCAGGATGCTAGTTGAACACGCTCGGTCCCCAAAAAGCACGGATGCTACTTGAACACGCTCGGTCGCCAAAAAGCATGATGCTAGTTGAACACGCTCGGTCCCCAAAAAGCACGGATGCTAGTTGAACACGCTCGGTCGCCAAAAAGCAGGATGCTAGTTGAACACGCTCGGTCCGCAAAAAGCAAGGATGCTAGTTGAACACGCTCGGTCGCCAAAAAGCAGGATGCTAGTTGAACACGGTCGGTCTTCAAGAAGCGATGATGCTAGTTGTTCTCACTGGTTTTGACCCCGTACCTTGCCTAAATCCACTAAGGTTTTTGCCCAGATCCACGAAGGTTTTTGCCCAAATCCACGAAGGTTTTTGCCCAAATCCACGAAGGGGTTTAACATTTAAATATTTTTTGTTGTAGGAGAGGTAAGCATTCACTAGTTGAGCAGCTTTCAAGGCCATAGGGGAATCGGGAAGGAACGTAGCTGCCCAGAGAGGAGGAGGATTAGATTATTTTCCTAATGGCGTGGGACCCAATGGGCGGGTGGGTATTCCCCTATGGCCTTGAAAGCTGCTCAACCAGTGAATGCTTGGACCAGAGATGCTGAACCTTAAACCCTAAACCCTAAACCCTAGACCCAAACCACGCTCTAAACTCCAAGTCCCAAGCTTAGAGCCACTCGACCGTGCAAGTGAGGGTGTGCCGACACTTCGACAGAGTCTTGTGGCAGCAGCCCAGAACCCTAAGCCCCAAATCCGGCAAAGCCCGAAATCCGAACCCCCACGCCACCCGGTGAGTTGAAGATCCTCTCCTCAGCCGATAATGCAGTGCAGTCGCATCTGAGACCCGCTACTGGACATTTGTCCCACTTGCAGCCCGCTTGCACTCCACTTTGCACCCCACTTTGCCCCCTCCACTTTTCATCCCGCTTGTTCTCTGGCACGTCCGGATCATAATCTGTACACACAAAGTGGGGTGAACTCAGTCAGCTTCAAATATGAGACTGGAAAATCATGGCAGAGCGTCTGAAGCCCTGCCAATCCTGCACCCCCTCCCCACCCCCCGGGTTTAGGGTTTAGGGTTTAGGGTTTAGGGCTTAGGGCTTAGGGCTTAGGGTTTAGGGCCCCCCCCCCCCCCCAACAACAAAGACCCTTGCTCAAGCGCTCCTGCGGATGTGCGCAGGTCACCACGACCAGGGCCAAACCTGGGTCGAAAATTCGCATCTGGGCTCGGTTTAAGTTCAAGGGCCTTCAGGATGTTTAGGAGTTTTTTCGGGCCCCCTTTTAGTCCGGGGTGAAGACATCACAGGGCCCCAACAAGGTCACTTGGGAATGTATTTAGGGGTAGGAGAGCCTTGAAGAGTGTTTCGCCTTCGGAGGCAAGGCTTCGTTGGGCTTAGGGTTTAGGTGTCCTGTTTTGGGATGTTCCCCCTTGTACTACTATACTAACTGTCCTTGATAGGGATAGTAATCGGGGGTCCTATGATCCCTATTAAGGACTCTGAGTATGACAGGGGCATCCCAAGTCCAGTTACACAACGTCCGCCTAAAGTTAGGGCACTCAGCAAGGGACCTCGGAAGTGGGGTCCTCTTTTTTGGGTAACCCCTCATCGAATCCCCTTATGAAAAAGGACCTCCCTAAACTCTAAGCCCCCAAAAGGGCTCAAAACCCTCGCGCTGAAAGTTGCAGCGGGGTAGTATTTATTGACGGGAGGTGGCTTAAACCTTTCTCCGATGAGTGTTGACACCGCTCAGGAGTCGTCTTGGCCAAAGGTGTCCGGACGTGTACCCAGTGCGCGAATCCAATCGGCAAAGAGCCAGGCGCCAGCATTTCATGGCGGAGTGAGCTTCGACGGGTACGACGAAGTGTGGGGTTTTCCTGGTTTAAGTTTGGCGTTTTCGGCTTAAGGTTGAAGGTCTCAAGCAAGGGAAGAAAGAGCAAGTCAACCGCGCCCCAAAATACAAAGCTCAGCAGCCTGCCATGACCGTCATGACCTTTGCAAACTCGGGCTTTAGCCGCCTTAAGTACAGGAGTATTGGCAAAGATCATAGGTCCATGCAATATGGGGGTTTCCGAAATTAGGGGTACCTTTTTGGGTCCTGATTAGAAGGGAATCCTACCATTTGGCGACTCTATTAGGGGTCCCTTATGTGCGTAGATCTAGCCGTCTCTTCATTGTGAGAGCAGAGCTTGCTCAAGTGAAACCTATACAGCAGCAATGGTCTGCTTTCAAACCTGTAAAAGTTTCAATCTGAATTCTGAACGGGCCTTAGTTTAGGGTTTAGGATTTAGGGTATGTTTCCCTGTTAAGCACTATTTCTGTATGGGCACCGACTTTAAGTGAGAGCTCAGAACCTTCGCACCTCAATGCTCCGAAGCCTGTGGCTAGGTGCGGTTGCCTACGCCCAGCTGGTCTGCCGGTCCGTCTTCCATCCAGGCCAAATCCCCAAGCCTTAGTAGGGTTTAGGGTTTAGGGTTTAGGGCTTAGGGTTTAGGGTTAGGGTTTAGGGTTTAGCAGCCCTCAAACTTGAAGCTTTTGAACCCTAAACCCTAAAAAAATCTTGAACCTTATATGCCCTAAGCCTTTTGCCCGCATTGCCCCTGCAAGCTCAGCAGGGACTGAAACTACTCAATCCCTAAACCCTAAATCCTAAACCCAAAACCTACCGAACCCCAAATCCTGAATCCTGGGGCTTGCATGGGAAGGGGTATCACTTGCCGGCCTTTGTGGGTGTTTAGGGCTTTTGGGGGAGACTTTCTGACAGCAAGAGCAGGAAGGAGTGTAGAGGTTTTAGATTTTTGTCGCTGGAGCCCTTGCGCCCCTGGCCGCAGACTGCAAACATGGCCCTTTCTGCCCAAAGTGCCGAGAGCGGGTGGCGCAAAAGGCCGGGAAGGGCGTCGGGCGAACTGTCAAGCTCATGCCACAACCTTTTTGCTGCCTGGCACACTGCAAAAGAGAGAGAGAGAGAGAGAGAGACAGAGATTGAGAGAGAGAGAGAGGGAGAGAGAAAGAGAGAGAGACCGAGCAGAAGAAGAAGAAGAAGAAGAAGAAGAAGAAGAAGAAGAAGAAGAAGAAGAAGAAGAGAAGAGAGAGAGAGAGAGAGCTTTGAGGGGATGGGGGGCTCTGATGCTAGCCGTGCCCTTTCGCGCTTGCGAGGTGCTGCCCTGCTGCGTTTGCAGGGGCCTCATCGAGTCCTGGCGTCAGGGTTCTGCTGAGGATGCAGAGTCCGAGTCATGACATGGGCCAGATGGCCCTCACATGGATGTAGTAGGTGAGCAAAGCCGAGTTTTGACCTTTGCCCATTAACTCCCTGAACCCCGAAAATCCCCAAACGCTCTTACACCGAGCAGCCTGTTTATTAGATCCCATTTGTGCCTTCAACTTGGCTTTGCGCACCGTGCTGTCGTCGAGCGAACAGTCAGTCGTCCATCCAGCCGCGTCAACAAAAACCTGGGCTTGAGGCTTCAACGGCAAGGGCTTACGCGTTCAGTGCTAGGGCTTGGGCGTCCAGTGTTAGGGTTTAGGGTTTAGGGTTTAGGGTTTAGGGTTTAGGGTTTAGGGTTTAGGGTTTAGGGTTTAGGGTTTAGGCTCTGCATGCAGATGCAAGCGCACGGCATGGCAACATGACCCATGACAAACTCGCTGCCTCCTCTTCGAGCATCATCCACTCTTCATCCAGATTCCCTGTACTGAAAATGGACGCTACTACATTGAGACATCCTGAAATACCGTCAAGAAGATCCACTGCGTGAAGTCCCAAGCCCGAACTAAGACCCTGAACACCACTTAAGCCCCTGACATAACCAAAAGAATGGCCTTTGAGTCAGTCCCTAAGATTATAACAGTCCTTGAGAGAGATTAGGATAGGGGCTACTATACCTATAAATGACTGCGAGTATAAGGGGGAACATCCCAACCAGAAGAGCTTTAAATCCCCAAGCCCGACAAACCCATTACACATGGCCTGGGCCAACGCGCACGTGGCCCGGCTGGCCGCGCAGGCCCAAAGAGCTGAGAGCCAAGAATGTGGCAGAGCCGAGAGAGAATTCCTTGACTTTTACTCCGCATCCGACTTTGCCTGAAACCATAACCCCCTAAGCCCTGTAAACCCCTGAAAACCCCTAAAAACCCCTAAAAACCCTAAACCCTTAAGCAGCTCCGAAGCACTGCGCAGGCTCCCCCCGAGGATGTTTGCGGCCTGGTGGTCGTTTGCTCCTGGCCGATGCCCGAAGCTGTGCACTTTGGCCAGAAGGCTTCAGGAAAGAGGAAGGCTTGAGGCCCTAACACGCCCTAAACCCTAAACCCTAAACCCTAAACCCTAAACCCTAAACCCTAAACCCTAAACCCTAAACCCTAAACCCTAAACCCTAAACCCTAAACCCTAAACTCCAAGCCTTGCGGGACCATCTATGGGATGGATGAGTTTGACTCTTGGGACCCTGAACCCTAAAGGCCTAGCCACAGCGCATGGCCCAGGCTGGAGCAGTACGAGCGCTTTCGGGAGAGGCTGGCGGCAGCGATGCCGAAAGAGGCCCAGCCACCCAAGGATTTGTTTTAGGGTTTAGGGTTTAGGGTTTAGGGTTTAGGGTTTAGGTTCGGCATTCTCTTGGGGTGGGGGGGGGGGGGGGGGGGGGGGCAGGATTTCTTTAGGCTTGCAGGGCTTCAGGGGGATTTGTTGAGGGAGAGATTGAAAGGGAGGCTCTTTGTTGGATCTCGGAGGCCTGAGATCTCTTGGTAGGCGTCGATCGACGAAATCGGCACAAAAAGGCAGGTGCTTGATGTCAATCATCACGTGGGATGTTCCCCCTTATACTGACAGCCCTTACTAGGGATTCTAATAGGGGGTAGTTACTATAGTCCCTACTAAGGACTGTTGGTATAGTTATAGGGTTCTTAAGGCAGGGGGGTTCAAGGGGAGTAGGGACCTGCGGAACTTTTGCGAAGTATCGGGAGCCTTTTAGGGAGTGGTAGGTCCCCTTATAGAAACAGCCCCTAATAGGGATTCGAAGAAGGGGTACTAGAGTCCCTGTTAAGGACTGTTAGTATAAGGGGGGAGCATCCCGAGTTGTCATGGTTTCTTCGGCAGGCCATTGATTCCGCTATCATTTTGTGGGGCTGGACCCTGGAACGCTCGGTCCTGGAGCACAAACCCCCAAACCCCAAAACCCCCAAACCCCAAACCCCAAAACCCCAAACCCCAAACCCCAAACCCTAAACCCTAAACCCTCCACCCTCGCCATGAGCTTGAGAAGCCCAACAGTGAAGCCTGTGAGTGGAGGCATACGTCTATCCTGGCACCACTCTGCACTGCACGATCTGCACCTTGCGGGCGTTCACTGCAGGAGTGGGGTTAGGGTTTGGGGTTTGGGGTTAGGGTTTTGGGTTAGGGTTTATGGTTTAGGGTTCAGGGTGTAGTGTTTAGGGCTTAGGGCTTAGGGCTTAGGGCTTAGGGCTTAGGGCTTAGGGCTTCGGGCTTAGGGCTTAGGGTTTAGGGTTCAGGGTTTAGGGTTTGTGGTATAGGGTTTGGGTTTAGGGTTTAGAGATTTTAGGGTTTAGGGTTTAGGGTTTAAGGTTTAGGGTTTAAGGGGGGAGTTGAGGGTGTACGGCATTCGGGGGTATAGGGTGCAGAGTTTAGAGCACCTTGTTGAGGTGGTCATCGGTAACACTTGGGAACCCTAAACCCTGAACCCTGGACCCTAGACCCTAGACCCTAAATTTAAACCCTAAACCCTAAACCCTAAACCCTAAACCCTAAACCCTAAACCCTAAACCCTAAACCCTAAACCCTAAACCCTAAACCCTAAACCCTAAACCCTAAACAGCAGCAGGCCCCATGGACCCCGGGGAGCAGCGCCGGAGCGCTGAGCGCTGGCGCACGATCCTGGACGCGGCGCGGCGCGACCCAGGTTGGCCTGCAGGCCAACCTGCAGCTGATTGTAGGGTTTAGGGTTTAGGGTTTAGGGTTTATAGGGGTTATAGGGCTTTTTATAGGGTATTTATGGGGTTGTAGGGTTTGTAGGGCTTCTGTGGCTGCTTGAAGGGTTTAAGTTTAGGGGGGGTTGATAGGGGTTTGGGGTTGATAGGGTTTAGGGTTGAAAGGGTTTACGGGTTATACTGGGTTACGGTTTATAGGGTTTAGAGTTTACAGGCTTTAGGGTTTATAGGGCTTCGGGTTTATGAGGGTTGGCCTGAAGGCCTGGGTTTAGGAACCCGTGTTTTTTTTTTTGTTGTGGGTGCTTTTTTGCTGTGGGTGCTTTTTTCGGGGGCCGCCCCGGTGAGTGAGTGACCTGGTGCGTGTCCCCCGCACCCCAGCACGCCCCGCACCCGCAGCAAAAAACAAAAACGCGCCCCGCAACCGCAGCAAAAAAAAAAAAACGCGCCCCCCCCCCCCCTCCCCCCCCCCTTCCTCCCCACCCCGCAGGTGGTGAGTGACCTGGCGCGTGTCGCCCCCGCACCCGCAGCAAAAAAAAAAAACCCCAAAAAAAAAACTCCCGGTGAGCCCGCCCCCGCACCCGCAGCAAAAAAAAAACGCGCCCCCGCGCAGCAAAAAAAAAAACGCACCACCCCCCAGTGATGAGTGACCTGGCGCGTGTCGCAGCAAAAAAAAACAACGCCCCCCCCTTTCCTCCCCACCCCCCAGGTCATTTGTTTTGCAATTTCCTCCCCAACCCCGTCCCCAACGCCCCCCCTCCTTTAAACTGTGCAAGCGTTTTCAAAGCACTGAATCCTTCCCAAGGCCATCATGCGAGCATTGTGTTTGCAAACGGTGGAGGGAGGGCTGCACCCCGCCCGACCCCCCCCCCTCTTTAAAACCGTGCCCCCCCCCTCTTTAAAACCGTGCCAGGTCGCTTCTCAGCATATGAATCCTGTCCAAGCCTATCATGCCAGCATTGGGTTTGCAAATAGGGGGGGGCTGCGCCCCCCCCAACCCCCCCGCTTCTTAAAGCCATGCCGCTTGCTTCAAAGCAAATGAATCCTTTCCGAACCCATCATGAGAGCATTCCCCCCCGCTTGAAAGGGGGGGGGGGTGGGGCTGCGCTTTTTAGCCGGGCAAACTTGCTTCAATCATACGAATCCCTTCCAAACCCATGATGATGCGAGCATTGTGTTTGCAAATGGGGGGGGCTGCGCCCCCCCCAACCCCCCCGCTTTTTTTAGCCGGCAAGCCTGCTTCAAAGCTTACGAATCCCTTCCAAACCCATGATGCGAGCATTGTGTTTTCAAATGCGGCGGTCTGCGCAGCCCCCAACCCCCTGAAGAAAGAGGGAATATATGCTTGCTTTCCTACGAAAATTCAGACCTTATGGTGGAAGTTGAATTTTCCGTTTAAAAATAGAGATATAAACGTCTTCTTAGTAAAGAATCGAAGAAAATAGAGCTTGTGTTATGAGACATGAACAAAAACACTTGTTGTCTACGAGTCACAAATAGAGAAAATGCATGTACTCTTATGACAATATAGAGAATTAGCTTTTCATGTATTCCTCTCTCATGTCTTCCTCGTGAAATAAAGAGAAGAAGTCTGAAAATACTGACAAAATAGGAAACTATAGAACAATAGAGGTTTTCGCTACCACCCAACCCCCCAAATCCACCCCCGCCCCAATCCCCCAGCCCTCCCACCCCCCGCAAGATTAGCTGCACCGCGGTTTGCAGCCAAGAACCACGCACACTGCCTCGTTGGAGCAAGTGATGATGGCAGTTCTGCATAGGCAAGCGTTATCATCATGACGCCATACCCGTAGTCGTAACCGCACATGCACGTGATGACGTCAAGGCTACCAGCGCATCCACGAGGATCCATGCCCGAACGACGTTAACGGAGGAGCCTCTCTGACAAAGGTACACACAACAACTGAGAGAAAACATTGAGAAAACATGATTGCAACAATGCCAACGACTTTGTGCTGTTTCTAAGTAATTATCGACATGTATCGACAACACTACGCCGTACTGTAATGCGAAGCCCGCATTCTGCAACTCCTAGGATAGCGTTCACAACGAACTGCATCAAAAATCCTGTAGAGCCAGCTTCCTCACCAAGGCAGATAGTTTACATGAGGAGTGCTGACTACGTGTGACATGCTAGAATGCATGTTCCTTGTGGGGTGTTCTACAATAAACCAAAAATTGCGAGAAATGAGCTTTTGTGAAGCTGCCCTGGGTTGTGCTGGACTGATGCGGATGATGTTGTTAATTCCCATTCGCTTCCTGACATTCGCCGACAAAAAGCCTTC